CGTCACAAAAAAACATCGTCAAGAAAACTCGCAAGCTTGAATTTTGTTGTGACGATGATGCTCGTCATATGACGGACGAAAGCTTAGCACGTGTTCACCGGAATCGAGTGAGATTGCCTCGGAAACAGCGTCAGCATAAATCTTCCAGTAAATCCAATCGACAGCTGGTCAAGAGGAATTCGCCGTCGTCTTCTGGTGGAACCGACCTCCGAATCTCTTCACCCAACACTTCCACTCGAAATGGAAGTAATCCCAACAATGTTGATCTTTTGTCTCTCCAATGCCAGTAAAGCCAATCGACAGCTGGTCAAGAGGAATTCGCCGTCGTCTTCTGGTGGAACCGACCTTCGAATCCTCGCGTCAGCATGAATCTTCCAGTAAAACCAATCGACAGCTGGTCAAGAGGAATCCGCCGTCGTCTTCTGGTGGAACCGACCTTCGAATCTCCTCAACCTAATCGACAGCTGGTCAAGAGGAATTCGCCGTCGTCTTCTGGTGGAACCGACCTTCGAATCTCTTCACCCCACTTCTACTCGAAATGAAAGTAATCCTAACAATTACCAATTCAGTCAGCGGAGACTGACTAGCTCATGTTAATGTGGCCATGACGCAAGGCTCAGTAAGACTACATACTTTTAGGCAAGAACAGCTCCTTTTCAAAAAAAAAGTGGTAATCAAAACCGAATTATCCTAATTTACTCATCCACTTGCCTCCTAAAAAAGGCCTGCAAAGGTTATATATCAGAGGCACCAAAACAACTTGTCTAAAAATTTTGGCAAATTATTTATAACTCATACATACCCTTTCGAAATGGGAGTTGTACAGTCACACATTTTGTGATAAAGGCTAATATTTGATTATCCAAAGGGTCCTCATTATAACTTTTAACCATCAACTAAAGTCGAGCTAGAACAAAAGATGACGACGACACGAGCTGGTACAATGACGTTTTTTCTGAAGGGGACCTACTCAGTCGTAAAGACTTGCTTGACTCTTGTAAAGACAAGAGCGAAAATGCCAGTTTTTACTCTACGGACTCTTATGGAATTGGAAGAATTGTAGAAAAGCTCGTTACCTCCTTCTCTCTGAAGAGGTGATGCGGCCAACCAATTTCTCAGGTGGAAGAGTAAAAGGGCTGATGAATTACACCTGGATTAAGCTTTATTTACGTATATTTCTAGAAAATTTATGGCGGACGAGTTTCACTGATGTGGCTGATGCGACGTGACAACAACAGACACCTACCAGGAGCCTAATCTCAACTTGGAGGTAATGGGATATTAAACACAAGCAATACAACCAGAAATGTTGATCCATCCATCCCAACTCACCCATTAATTAATTTTGTGAAGTAATCATTTTATCATACTGAATAGAGTTAGCAACCCCATTCATCAGTCCGAAAGATCATTGCTGTTAGTAAAGCGTTTATAATTATCAAATTAAATTAAATTATCTTTATCATTATCCTTTGATTTATAGACCTAACGTTTTCAGAAGTATATAATCAGAGCATAGTTTAATGAAAACTAAACAATTATTTTAATTATATCACATCATATAATAAGGGAAATGCACACGAAGAGGCCAGTTCGTAAGATTTTTTTTGCCAAATGTAGAGCTCTATCCCTCTATGAGACTTTCCAATTCACCCCGGATTTCAACAGCAAACATACCTGAAACAAATTTTTTGGCTATGACCACAACAGCCCAATTTGATAATAGTCTCTTGGTTATAAGTTTAGTAAAGAGAAAAGGAATGTATTTATAAAGAACTAGTTCCAAAATAAATTGTTTAAGCCGAATTTATTATAACAACAACAACAACAAATGTTTGACTCTTCTCCTCGCTAAATTCCATAGCCCTAGACTCATGTGAGGACTGGTGATTTCCATTTGCACATCAATTTTCTTGTAGAAATCTATTCACATAAATCTCTGTACTTTAATGGACAAATAATGCACTTTTATCGTCCGACGGATAGCATGATGTATATCCCGCTTTGGTCCTAATATTAAAGCGATTCCCATAAAAACAGTCTCATATGATATTATTATATCGTACATGAATATTGATATAAAATGGTAAAATATATTTTAATATCCCATATCGCAATACACCCTTTATTATTATATAATATGATGGCATGCAATATAACATTATACATGCAGCGACTTGTCCCAACCTTTCCTCACAACATCGGTTAATTTCGTTAAATTTTCTGCGAATTCATCTTATATTTCCCACTTCACAAAAATGTTACTTGTGAATATCCCTTACTCAGAATCCTCCGGCATATCTACTGTTCAAGATTTAGAGTAAGACTAACTCCTGACACTTATAACGGCTTCTGAACCCTTTGGCTTTCTTGTTGAAACTTAATTCTAAATTCTCCTCGTAATATTCGCACTCAGCCATTTTGCATTCGCGATTTTACTTAAACACCTTCGCGCTTTCTGCACTAATTTGCAACTCGGTATGATTTTTGCAGGCTACTTTATGACTTGGTCTCTTATATTGAATGAAGATGAGTACACCATACACTATAGTAGGAAGCTGAGCGCACCCTATAAGTATGATAATAAATTTGTACATATCTTACGGTATCATAATTTTTTATAGTTAATGTCGTGTTATGTTATACGACATGATTTCAGGTCATATGACAATTTTGTAGGCCATTGCATATAGAAAATTTCATGGATCTCGAACTTGTGCCTTCAAATATTTTTATTATGCTTTTTCATAAGTTTCTACGATTTTTGTTTCAGCAATTTTACGCTCCAAGCTTCAACATTCATTTTCATACTCTTTCTGATCAGTTAACCTTAAGGCCCTTCAGTCACCTCAGGTCTTCCCTCTCCCAAAAGGAAAAATGTCTCTTGTGCTAATACAGAATAATGAAAGCAACATTTGAGAAGCATAGAATTTGTATGATTCTTTAGTGCTGCAAAAGACATTAGTTCGGAAAGTCAAGTTTATACGAGATCCACAGAAAAGCGGTACGCCTGTGATAATGGAAGGATGGAGGCAACATTTATAGGGTAATTTCACGGATCCCATTAACTTTAAGAGCCTAATATATTATTCTGAGTATGTTCTCAATGTGATGGTTCACTTACTGTTCATTTACAAATTTTACATCCCTTAGAAACTCTTACCATTAGCTAGCCTGTTTCATAACGTAGTCTACGTTTGCAATAGCCCATAACAGCTCCTTTATTTTCCTATTTTACTTGCTATTATTCATGCATCACCAAATAATAGTCTAAAGCTGCCCAGAGTTATCGTCTTAAAATGCATCGTAAATATTGTTAGTTAAAAAATCACCCAAAATGTGGTTTAGATGTGCTCACGTCTTATCTATCGCAAAGCTGTAAAGGGAACTTTTAATGAATATGTGTCTGGCTGTACTGATGTGAATAAATTGCGGCAAATAAAGCTTGCCATTAAACTTTTTAAATGACGGTGCTCTTTTCTTAAAAGCTGTTGAAAAAAAGGCCAAGTTAGCTATGCTGAAATAGGAAATTCTAGTTTTTTTCATTAACATGAAAAATTATTGCATTTATAACCAACGAAAATATGGAACCAATTTTGATATTCGAATACTTCAACCTGCACACCTAGTTTTATTTCATATAATTACTTATAATTCTTCATAAGTAACTGCATGAGCAAAGATTAATTCCTAAGTGTAACGGAAGAAATGTTGCTGCATACTTACTAGAAGAATCCACCAATATAACTATTTTCGCGACACCCTTATCCAGAACCTTAGCCCCCATCAGGTAGCTTATCTAAATTTAATCATCATAATCATCATTAAATATAGCACTTAATTATTTCTATAGAAGAACGCCAATTCAGTTAGGCAAAAGGATTCAATTAACTAACTATAGGAACTTTGGAGCCTTGAAATTAAAATAAGCTTTTATTGTGCGCATAAAATGACATAAAAACGTGAAATGGTTAAACTATAAATCAATTCAAGTTATTATTTCATGTACTTTGCTCAACTATCTGACCTCTATCACATTACTATAAGCCTGTCACGTTCCACAAGGATGAACAGGATGAGATAGGACAAACTTTCAAGCTTATACAAACACAATGAAACAAATGATTGGAAATATTTTAGTACGAGAGATTAATCATATTAAACAATATAACTCCAGATGAAAAGGACAGTCATTAATTATTTCACTAAAATAATTTACTTAACATTTTAAACTGTTCTGATTACTGAATTTGTTGCAATAAAATGAAAAGGCCTCATTTCCTGCATTCCTTTGAATACCTTGGTATCCTGAACAGTCACTTCCACAGGGGTTAATGAAAAACTTGAGTTTTCGACTATTCTCATTAGTTAAGAGGACGCTTTGTATGCAAATTCTTGTATCTTTCATGACTCAGGTTAACTAAAATTTTTTACATAGTAATGACACACTGTTATTTGATGCATTAAGTTGTTTAAAGATCCTTTTAAAGTGCAACAGTGGCCAGTTAGCCAAACATATTTTAGAATTATGGGAAAACAAGGCAAATTAAATTATTGTTTAAGGTTCCACGAATTAGCTTTCAGACAAATCTCAAATAGGTTTTCATAAACTTTGGATTACATCTGAAAAGGGTACAAAAAGGATTTAGTGTATAATATTACGAATAAATTACCAAATAGTCTTCGAGACAGATAATAAGTTGTGGCAAATTTAAAGGACGTGAGATGATGCATCAAGAAGATGGAAAGTTTAAGAGTTTACAGAAGCACCTATCGAGTCCTAGGGACCAAATCGTAAGTAGCAATGGAATAAAAAAGCAAATGCTTTAGTATGGAAGACTCTATGGATAAACTGTGAATTTCACATATTAAGTGTAAGTATTCATGCGTGAATGTACTAATTCCTCAATAAAAACTGATGCAAAGCAGCCCAACAACCTAGAGAATACCGATTATATACAAGAAACGGTATCTAATGTGATTATTTAGCAAAAACAAGCATAAAGCAACAGTTAAAGCTAGTGAACATTATATTGGTGTCAATCTCAAGCATTTGACTGTTAAATAGTCAAAAATGTTAAATAACCCTTGAAGTTTCTCAAAGGATCAAATGCATAGGAGTTAAAGAAGTAAGGCTGTTGATATGACTTAATGTAATAACGGTTCATAGGAACATCTCTGGAGAAAATAAAATCGGGTCATTTTACGATGGAAGGATATCTTGTATATTAAGCATATCAAAATAATACTTGAACATTAATGGATGAATCGACAAGATGGACATCTGAGATAAAATTCAACGGCAATGTGTATGATAAGATATTTGGACAGCCTATAGAATCTCAATTTTACTGAAAAAACTAGAACAATATATCAAGACATTCCCGCAGCGACCAACAGTACTCATGGGATAGCTTATTCAACAATTTCCACTGTGTTTGCAAGATGGATAGATCTAAAAACTTTTTTTGAGCATTTAAACAGGTATAACGAAAGAAAAAAATTGATTATTGTGGTAGAAGAGGATAGGCCGCTGGAATAA